TGGCTGTGTGTTGCACGTGTTTGTACAGTGGCTGTTTGATGAACAGGTCACCGCAGTCCTCACTACACTGTACGCCATAGACAACCTTGCTCTGTCCGCGGTGTGATATCTTGTCCATGGGGTGAACTAGAGAGTCAAAGACGAGACACTGGTCTGTGGGAGTTGGTTTCCTGTAGACGGTGTCGAGGCTTCTGTGTTCCTTGATGTGCACAGCACAGTCCAGGAAAGCAAGCGTGTCTCCTTTAACATCTTCACAGGTGAATTGAATGTATTTGCTGACTTGTATCAGTGTTTACCTGCACCCCACTCCCAGGATGATGGGATGCTTGGAGTTTGGTGCTTCAAGGTTAAAATCAGTTCCCCGGTGCTTTAAGCTCTTGATAAGATCAAAGCAGAAAAGAACAAAACGTATATCAGCGAGAAGAGAAACGTTTGGCTTCTGTGACTTTTCGTACTCAGACAAAGATCTACAAAGCTTTGCGATTAGCACGTACGTTGCTGTTACCATTAATAAGCGAATGCACCGGTGAAATATGAAATTTCCCTCTCGGAGATGATGGGTGTGTTTACTCAGTAGCAGGAGATTTTAAAACAAGTCAACATGGTAATTGCAGCGGCTAAAACGCATAACATGAATTAAACTGCCCACTCGTGCAGTGTTTGTGACCTCACTGCTGAGTGGTGGGATGAACCGCACATGAACACAATTTGCATAAAAGCTTGTGATTAGATAAGGTGCTGCCATCAGTGACGTCTGCATCGATCGCTCAACATCCACAAGTGGCTCAGTGACAGGTCCTTAGTGCTCAAAAATAAAATTAAAAAACAAAGACACTCATAAAGTCTTCTTACCTATAATTAAAAAAAAACAAAAAAAGCATCAGGATTGTTTGTTGGATTTCAAGTTGACAACCAACTATTTTTGCCTCTTGTAATCTTTAAAAAAAATTGCAACCAACTATTTTTGCCTCTTGTAATCCTTAAAAAAAATTCTTGAGTATATTATTGCTGCTTAATTATAGTCAGAAAGTGACACGAAGCAGGGACATTTTTTGGTGCAGGTTAGTTTGAATTTAAACATTAGAACTAAGTGTGCAACTCTTTCTCATTTCCATACCGATATATGCATGTGTGGGAGGAAGAGCATGGAGAAGTAACGGAGGCGGAAAGAGAGACAGAAAGAGGAGGTGGGAGAGAAAGGTTTTAGATTTGGATTTGTGATTTAGTAAGAAATATTTTTTTTTTTTACAAAATGAGAATTGGACACTTGAACGTATTGATGCCACATCATGAAACCAGCGTTAATGTTCAAGTTTTTTTTTTTACACAGAAGAGTCTGCCTCACGACTGAACATACTGTCAGCGACCCTAAACACCGATGTTGTAGACAAACAACGTAGTCACACTACGGACCTGACTGCTGCAGGACGTCCATCTGTCTCTGTCCTCACTCTCATGTGGTGATGTCTGTGTGGGGGTGTGTTCTGGGGCACATTTACTGTAAGTGGTAGCAGTTCATACCTTTATGCAGAGAACAGATGCTCCTTCTTTGGGAGAGTTTTACTGCCATTTCAGAGATGTTTGGCAAGTGAAGACAGGCTACAACAGATGTGTGTTTGTGTGGAGCCAACTTTTACAGATGTCACTGTTCGGCTTTTTTCCCCCTCCAACCGCATCTGCTAAAGGTAAAGAAAACTGACGTTGGTTTGCCCGTGCGTGTGTAACCGAGCATTGACATGCATGTGCACATTCACTGATGGCCTAGGTTTAAATGCTAAGTTGAAGACATGTGCGGAATCCTCACACCACAGTGTGACTGTCATGCCTTAAACTTTAGACCTGCAGACTGGTTCTGCTCAGATCGTCTGCTCTTTGATTCCTAAAAGGGACTTGCAGCGTATCCTGCAGCAAAACACTTTATTCATGGCAGCAGTTGAGTAGAATAAAAGGATGAATAGAGGGAGGGGGACTCTGGTAACGTGGTATGTAATGTAGACATGCCCAAGTCTCCTAAGGTCTCTCCCACATCTTGACTCCAGCTCCTCCACAAATGATTTCACATATTCCAGAAACTAGCGAGCAACAAAGAACCCGCACGCAACGCAGAAAGAAGTTGAGTCAAATCATTTGGACCGATGCTAAGTGGTTAGCTCTCACTACATTAAAAGCCCAAACATTTGTCATAAATGGCAGTGAGATATAAATAGGAAGAGTAGGCAGCTCTGTGACCTCACTGATGATGTAATCCATCACCACTTTATCCTGCTCAGACTTTTGGTGGCACTGTAGCCCCATGGGGCAACTGTTAAACGGTCAGCTACACCTGGCCAAACACATACAGCAGAGGTAACGCTCATTCACACTCAGATTCACACCTACAGTAAATTTAGTGTCAAAGGATCTGCAGGTGTGTGGTCGGTCCTAAATACCAGAGACACCAGAAAAACACACACATTTAGGAAACATATGACAACTTTACAGACAAACAAACCAGTGACCTACTCACTGTTAGGCAAGAGGCAGTAACCGCAGTGTCCATGTGGGGCGCAGCTTGTTTTCTATTGTGCCAACAAATATGCATGGTCGTCAGGTTAATAGAGGTTAATTAGCAGCTGACGTGGGACCCCTGTGAGGGGCAGTTAGGGCCGGACAGAAAAGGATGCTGCCCGTGTGTAGTATGCAGACTGTTTCCCAAATATCAACCACAAAATAAACCTTTGGAGACCATTGGAGTCCAAGGTTAAAGCACAGACCTTCCAGTTGAGAAGAGAACTGTGGTCCTGTCTTCTGACAGTAAGAATTACTCATTTTTATATACGGTTGTTTGGGTTGAAGGTCAAAGACAGCAGAGCGGATGTTGCAGTGGTCATACGCTTATTTATTAAGGCATTTTCCAGCAGATTTTCTGGGTATTTTGGCAAAATACCAAAGACAAAAGTCTCAAATCTGCCTGGAGCTCCCTCATTCTTCGGTCTGTTGTTCAAGGAGCAGGTTTTCACCTCACACCCTCAGACATTTGAGCTCATTTATTTCCACCCTGGTGCTAATCTCACCACCTGGCTGAAAACTGCCCCATGTGCAGTTTTAATATAGCTCTGAGGGTCAGAACGGTCAGTCGTAGACCTATTTCACATGACCTGCTGATGCGCACGTACTGTAAGAACTGCGTGACCTGGAATTGGGTTGAAATTCAATTTAAAAACAGGAGGGTTTTTTTTTTCAAATTATGAAAAAATAAAATGGATTTACTCTGTGGTGAAATTTGTTCACCTTAAATTACTGGCATGAAAAACATGTCACAATCTGTTTATGGGTGAGGTCGAGAGAGCAAAGGGAGAGGAAGGTGATGCTAAGGCAGAAATCTCACCTGGGGGCAATTTAATTGGAGGCAGTGGTTTATCCGGACCATGTGACTCTCACCTGAGGAAGAGGAAGATTTCTGTATGTTAAGTAGCCTGCTTTAACTTCACCTTCCTGCTGTGTTTGAGCAGCGGGGCTGGGCACTGCCATGGGTGCTGATGTGGATATCGAGCTGTTTGTTTGATAAACTGTTGGCTAAGCTGTGTGTGTGTGTGCGTGTGTTTTTGAAAGAGGTAGGCACTTTGACTCCCCGCTCGATCACAGAGAGAAAATGTCATCGGGAGATTTCTCTGACTGGCATAGAAGCGTCACATCGTCTCTTCCATCTCTGCTGCGGCTGACATCAGTTCACTTATCTCGTCTTCCCTACTAGAAAAGACAAGATGTTCTACCCTATTCTGCTTCGTTTTCTTGTCTCCTCTCCTCTTCCCTCTTTTCCTCATCCCCTCCTGTCAAGGAGGAATCCTTGCCACTTCCTGTAAGTGTCCACACTGTCTTTTTACCTCCTTTCTGTTCTGATTCAAGCAGAATGTTGGAACAAATGCCGGAACATATGTTACTTTTTAAAAATAAAAAATCCACCTCCATGAGAGGAAGATGCTCCAGTAAATGTCAACCTAATATTTATTCTCCTCCAAACCACAGTCTCTCGGGGTCTGTTGTTGCTGCTCATGCGTCTTAGTCGCATCATTTTAAACCAAAAGGTCGATGGGGTCTCTTTCCATTGAGCACTGTCGCTTCATCCATTCTTGTTTACAGTATTTACTGTCATTGTGGGCGAGACTCCAAAGGAGATCCACACAAATGCATTTATATGTACACACACACACATATATAGCAGTGGAAGGTATAGACAAGGTTGCCATGGTAACAGCCTGTACTATGTCTGAAAAAAAAAAAAACCTATACAAGATAGGCACGTATGAATGAAAATGTGAGCACACCCAGATGGCGCCCACAGACAGACAGGGCCCACAGACACACAGGGCCCACAGACAGACACTCATATGTCAGTCATTTAAGGATTAAGTATCCTTGACTATGTAATATTTTAATTCAACTTTATGCAAAGAAATGTAGCCGTTGTTGCTGTAGCAACTTGCTTTGGGATATTTTATACAGGAGTGGGTTTAATTTAGTTGCTGAAGAGCACTCACTGTCAATAATATTCAGCAACAGAAGGTGAAAGTGGAAACATATTCCCCGCTGCCTCACTTTATCTCAAGCAGCATTAAAGAAAAAAAAAAGAAAAAATCCACAACTCAAAATGAGATGCTGATTAAATCTTGATCCCAACTTTTCCCAAATGCTATTTCTGGATCCTTATTCAACATTGAATAACATAATTATCTGACTTGAAGACATGAAATGTTCCAGGGTAATTAAGAAGATTAGGCTGTTTTTTAAAAATGTAATATTTAAATTGTCTGTCTTTGCAAGGACACTTTTTTTTCCACCCTTTATTGGAGTGTAGAAATGAAGGTATTAACACATCCAGGTTGAGGAGCTGAAGCTTAAAGGAGAAATGCGACAAATTTCAACCCGTAGGAGTGAGGACGAAGTGTGGGTCAGAAAAAGGTCAGACACATATTTCTATGCTGGCTCATTTTAACACGCGCCCTCCCTGCCTGTCTCCTCAGCACATGTCGGAGCTGCTGGCTGTGGTGCGTCTTCCCTTCATCCACCCGTCCTACCTCCTGAACGTGGTGGACAACGACGAGCTGATCAAATCGTCCGAGGCGTGTCGTGATCTGGTCAACGAAGCCAAGCGCTACCACATGCTGCCGCACGCAAGACAAGAGATGCAGACGCCGAGGACTCGGCCGAGACTCTCTGCAGGTAAACACACACATGATATAGTTTCAGGCCGACTCGCGCGCTGCCCTCTACAGGTCCAGCTGACCTACAACCACGTTATCCATTTATATTCTACACAAAAAGGTGACACAGAGGTCTTGTTTCCACAAGGAGCTTCTGGCATGGCATTTAGTGCTTTCATTACACTTTCAACTCCTTTCTTAAAGGGAATTGCCCACATTTGAATAAGTGATGGGCAACGTTGCCAGATGACCATTTCTTCTTTCCACCATTACACAAATAGTCTCATTGAGGTGACCATGAAACACTGATATTTTGCCAAACACGGTGGCTTGAAAAATGTTAACATCTCCTAACAACACCGTAACTCCAGTCAGGCACAGCCGGCTCTCGCTTCTAAAACAAACAGCCGACCATTCCCTGTCCCACTGCCGCCACTGTCCATGTCACTGAAGAACATGTTTGTTTGTATCGTTAAAATCAAAAGATCATTCATGGAAATTGGAAGGCGCCTGCAAATTGCTTTTGGCCGTTACATTTTTCCCTCCGGTCGGCCAGGATCCTGCTCTTTTCCTGCCTAAAGGGCTGCCTAATTATACTGTGTGCATGATGTTACGAGCCTCACGCCCCACACCTTACCACTCAGCAGAAGTCATTTTCTGCATGGCGGGATTTAGTTAATTGCCATACAAATTGCGTTTTGTGCCCAGGTCAGTTTACCAACAAATCCATTGTCCAGTTGTCGTGTTTGTCCGTCAGTACACAAACACTGGCAGTTTGGTGCTGGGTCGATATTTTTTTTATGCATTTTCAGTTGCCTATAATTCAGCAGCAGGAGTGTTTGTAAAGAACCGTTCGCCTGTTAACAAAAGACATTTAGAGTAGCGTCGCACACAGCATTACCAGCGCGGCATCATTCCATTACTCATCCTCAGTTCAGTGATTTCACTTTGTCTTCGCAAGTGTCTCGGAGCCATTTTTGCCCATTTGACAGTGATTAGTATATGCGTATCACATACGGCCCGTAGCTCGATTATGCAGTCGGAGCCGTATTGATTCACGGCATCTCCTTGGTTACGTACAACATAATTATATAAATGCATAAATGCTACTGGGATGAATACAGTTATGATGCTTTACAGCCCAGAGGCTCAGGGAGAAGGAAACTCCTGACAAAGTTTTGTTGATCAAGTTTTTGTAACTGCCCGGAAGAGAAGTTTTAGTAATGATGGGCAAATGTGTTTTTATGGTGTGATTTTTTTCTTCTGCATATTAGAATAGAATGTTTTTGTGTTTATGAGACAGAACACATAGAGTATTTCCTTCTACCTCCATTTGCAAACACCTATTGATTATTTTTTAAATATAATATATATATAATAATTAATATAATTCTGCTATACATTTTTTTTTCAAACAAGGGAGTCATTTAGCATTGTATATTTTATAAATATATATAATAAAATACATATGAGTATCCACAATAAATTAATCCAAACTTAAACTCCTCCTCCTGCAGAGCCTGCTGTCCTGCAGTACTGTACACCCCCAACTGTGTCATGTTAAAATGTAATTGTCCTTTGTTGCTACGTAAATTAGAAAAAAAAAACAGTTTATATGTTTCTGCAGCTACAGTTTCTGCAGCTACTGTAACTCCTACTATTTTTTTTTTTTTGCCTGAACATACATATGTGTGTCAGAGTTGTATGCGTTTATGCGTGTGTTTCTGAAACATCTGCTGCTATGGACAGGACCCAGCAGGGAGCAGGGTCTGAGGAACTACATAAGAGCCTGGCATGTGGATGTTGGTGAGGGAAAGATAAGATGAGGAGTGGAGGGCAGAGCCTGAGACAATGGGACGTGAAAGCATGAGAGAAAATAAGAGAAGAAGAGTCAGGAAGAGCGAGGGGACAGAAGGAGCCACAGGGATCAGGAGGGAAGTTTGAAGGGCAGACATTGATTGAGTTTATTTTTTATTTTTTTATTTTTTTATTTCTCTGAGCGTGTGCCTCCTTGTGTACGCAGCGATTGTGTGGGTGTGTGTATTTTAAACATGGCCGAGCAGATGGGGCACCACCTGAGCCGAGTTGATAAGTCTGTCAGGCGGAAAAAAGAAAAGAAAACTGCCTTCCGTGAAGCGCTTCTTGCTGAGCGCAGTCAATCTGTGAACCTGTGTGTCGCGTGCATATGCCAGTTTGGCATAGTGTGTTTGCGTGCGCTCGCTACTCCCAGTGTGTGTATGTGTGGACCCATGCATGAGTGCTTCAGACATTCCGACGGTTTCCCCGTGATCACAGGGTTGTTTTTTTTTTTTTTTTTACGCATATGAATTCAGTTTATTCCTGTGAGACACGTCTTTAATTAACATTCTTATATTTTTAGTTTGGAATGTTGAATTTCAATGATAGGAGCCAAACTAATGGTGCAGGTGTTCCCTTATCATTTATAAACATGCACCAATTAATACCCGCGTAGCTACTTGGTGTATCAGCACCAAGGTCTGCTTCATTATTTCTGCAACTTTACAGTGTAGGAAAATGCACAGTTTGGTTTTTTATGACTGGGTTTTATTTGTGAGGTCATTTATTTTTAAGTTTTTTGTTTTGTTTGTGGTTGTTCTGAGAGAGCCAAGCATTTCAACGAGCTCTGTTTACCCACAAATGGCTGGCTTTTGGCTGCAGTATAATATTGGATGAAGTTGAATCAGCGATGTTATTGAAGAAAAATATTGTTTACTTCTTCGCAATGCTGTTGGCAGAACAATCCACTTTAAGAAGTTCCACTAATTGCCACAGTCTGAGTGCCACGTTGTTTGTAGGCAATATTTCTGTTGTGTTTTCTGATGTCTGAACATAGCTGTCGTTTATGGAAATGGACTGTGACGTTACTGTATGAAGGTCGTATCTTAACGTACACACACACCACAATGGGCGTTGGCGGCTTGGTGGTTATGAAAGCATACTTGGGTCTGGAAGGTTTCAGGTTTGAATCCACCAGCTGCGAAGTTACCACTGAGGTCCTCTGGGCATGGCACCATCCCCACACACTGCCCCCTGCTGACTTTGGTGGTGGGTATAAAGCAGAGGTCACATTTCGTTGTGTGCTGCGTCACATTGACAAATAATTCCCCTAAAAAAATGTAATTTCAAAGTCCAAACATATTGCGGTTATAAAAAATATTGCCAATCCGTTTTAATAAAAACAACTTTATTGACGTTGTAATTCATCTCTACAGATTCCTCCCATTTAATGACACCTTTCACGTTACGCGTGGATTAAATATCCTTACATGTCCTTTTGTTATCGTGGAAGTCTTTGCCGCCGCCTGCTCTTATCTATTAATTATGATGATAAAAGTTTAAGCATTTTAAGCTCATGAGTGATGTCAAGGATGTCAGGAAAGCTGCTGACATGAATATTAATGACCTATATACAGTATGTGCAATCTGCCATCTGCAAACTGCGATATCGTAAAAAGTTTCAAGTCCGACAAAAGATTGACATTTAATGAGTCGTCGCTTCATTAACCGTAAGCTGCGGAAAGTGTCGCCGCAGTTGAGGCTTTCTCTTCCACCACGCAGCCATTAATTGTCTCATTTGAGCAGGATTTGGGGTCCTGCTGTGCTGCCTCATTGTCCTTCCTTTCTTCTCTTAATTGCCCAATATTTGTTGATGATATGTTTTTCTTTACGTCAGTCTCTCCGTCAGGTCCTGATGTGTCAGTGTGCATTGTTTGCTGGTGTAGTTAATGGACCATTTGGTTCACATTTCCCCCCTCCCCTCTCTCCAGATTATGACAAGAGAATCATCATAAAGTCTAACCGCTGTGACATAAACTTTATTTTTGGGCCCGTCCCTGCTAACCAGGAATGTCTCGCTTTTCACTTTTCATTTATTTTACATTCAGCTGGATTTTACAGTCTGGATGGTGTGCACGTTTATTTTATTAGATGGCTAATTAAGGGGAAAACATAAGAATTCAGTGAAGCCATTTATCTGTGATTTCTAACCATGAAGTTGAAAAAAAAAAATTATATAAGTACAGTATGTTTGTGTGTGTCAGTGAAAAAAGCAGTATTTTTTTTAAATCTATTTTTAACATTTTAACCTTGCAGCGCTGTGCGTTTCCTCAGTTTTCTGCTGACACAGTTGGTAACAACAAAAGTCTTAGGTAAATACAATCTAAGTGCTTCGTTATGGGTCTGTGTATCCATGAGATGCTAATTGATTAATAAGAGCAAGGAAGTGCAGCTAGTGATCAGGGCCTTCCAAAGATTGATATGATTGTGTTAAGATGACGACGTGACATCAGCTGTTGTTGACATTCATGTTTGCAGTTTTGGAACTATTTTCAAGCACAGATGTTTTTCCTGGGCATAAATGATGAGTAACTGGACCTGTGTGTGCGGAGGGAAGCCCATACATTATGTTCCCTTTCCCAGCCGTCCACAAGTGTCACTGTGCTCCACTCGGAGGACGACGGAGAGCACAGGGGCAAACTGTTAACTCAGCCCAGGCAAGTGGAATGGCACTCAGGCAAATGAGCTGTAATGACTTGGAGACACAGGGGTACGGCTCGACTCGTACTGTTTCTGTCTCGCTTGTTCTCACACATTACCACACACGTGCTTGGGGTTTTTGCAGCTATTTCTTTTTTTTTTTTTTTTCGGTACTCTTGCAGAAAGTACTGCTAGTACTGCAATGGCGGTCTTTTATTTGCACAGCCTAACGAGAACCTTAACCCTTTCGTTACTAAGACCTTTGTGTTGATAATAAAAAAAACACTTGTAATTTAATCAGGCTAAGGTTCGGGAGTGGTTGCTATAGTTTTTCTGCAGCGCCCCCTTCATGTAGATAGGACTTCTGTCAGCCCCCACATTCTCAGCTATTGCTTGAAAACTCCACAGAATCTTATTTAAAACTGTGATTAACATTCTGATTGAATAAAAGGAAATACAATTACAGTCAGTTAATTTTCCCCACTGTGACAGAAATACCAAAATACTCACCCTGAATGTGAT